ACAGCCTATCCGAGGCACCTGAACATCCCATGTGAACTCCCACCCCTGTCTGCATCTCCCACTACTCTAATTTAAAAGCCCCGTCCCCTTATTTGCTAACCTGCACATTGTTGAACTTGTTATGAACTGTAACCACTAACCCAGTTCCCACCTTAACTGCCATCTCATTATCTTGCTCTGACAGTTAACAGCTTACTGCTAAAATTCTATCTTACTACTTTTTACAGATCCACAATTCCACTCCCTGCAGTTTCGCCATGGTGTAGGTTGAACAAGACTTGAAAAGGTCCTTTCCAACATTCCTTTAGAGGTTCATTGTTCTACATCCGCAGGCAGACCAAATCAGGTTTGAAACAATGAACTGCTGTATCCAATCCTAATGGTGCATGTAATTGCAAATACTTGTTGACAGAAAATAACACTTTTCCTAAAGACATCACATAGTCCTTTAAATACCCCTGTCCCAGGATACTGGCAGAAGCTGGTTTATATTCATTACCTGGTAAGGTTGCCCATATAAAACCTCAAATGTACTTACTTTGTCTCTATTGTTGGGGATTATTCTTATAATCCCCAAAAGCAGTATGCCTGGCCATTTTCATTTGGTTTCCTGACACATTTTATTTGTATGTCTCTCAATTGACCGATTCATTCTTTCTACCTTTCCATTGGACTAGGGTCTCCAGGTGGTATGGAGATGCCATTTTACGTGTAGTGTTTAAGCTAGTTTTTTGATTATTTTAGCTACAAAATGAGGCCCTCTATTTGGTGACATTTTTATTGGGATTCCATTATCTTGGGATAATCCCTTTTAAGAATACCTTACCTCTTTAGCCCGATTTGTTCGACAACAAAAAGCTTCCAGCCATCCTCAAAAAGCATCTACCAAAACCAATAAATACCAACGCACATTTTGTCATGATAATTCTGAAGAAATCTATTTCCCAATAGTGTCCTGCTGTATTTCCTTTCTTCACCTCTGGGAAGAGGTTGCGGTTGGATTTGAGGATTATTCCTCTGGTATATTTCACACTTCTTCACAATACTCTTAGGGATTCTTCCCATTCCTATTCTTAACACTCACAAGCTTAGATTGTCTTCTAATATTTCTGCACCCCAATGGGTACTCTTGTGTTCCTGATCTATCATTTCCTTTATGAGAGGGGTTGTTAAGATTACTGTTGTCTTCAGTGATCCACCACCCTTTCTCATTTTTCTTTGCCTTCAGTAACTCAGCTAATTGTTCATCTTCTTTTTGATATTCTGGACTATTTTCCAGTACTGGGTATTTTCCTGCCAGTATCAGTAATATTTGTCCTTCTGCTGTTTGTTTAGCAGTCTGACCTGCTAGTCAATTTCCACGAGAGCAAAGTAGAGGGGCAGGATCACCTCCTTCAACCTGCTGGTTACGTTCCTTTTGATGCAGCCCAGGATACCATTGGCTTTCTGGCCTGTGAGCGCACACACTGCCGGCTCATGTTCATTTTCTCACTGACCAACACCCCCAAGTCCTTCTCTGCAGGGCTGCTCTGAAACATTTTTCTGCCCAACCTGCAACTGTAGCTGGGACTGCCCTGACCCAAGTGTAGGACCTTGCACTTCGCCTTGTTGATCTTTGGTGGTTTGGTCGACGTGCTGGAGGGAAGGAATGCCATCCAGAGGGACCCTGACATGCTTCACAGGTGGGCCAATGCCAGCCTCATGAAATTCAACAGGCCAAGTGCAAGGTCCTACACCTGGGTCGGGACAATCCCAAGCACAGGCTGAGTGGAGAACGGTCTGAGAGCAGCCCTGAGGAGAAGGACTTAGGGGTGTCGACTGATGATGATTCGGAGAAAACTCCAGGAACAAACTCGCCAACAGAGTTTCAAGTTGACAAGCAGGTGTTATTGAGGCGCCGGGGGACACGGGGGATAGCTCCTCCTAACGTGTGTCACCGTATTGCCATGCAGGCCATCCTTATATGGTCACTGAGCATATTACATCATTTTCCAGTTAGTTTCCGGCATGCATACAAAAATGTGGTGGTCTTTAAGGGTCGTTAACTTTTCCCAACAAGCTTAATTAACATTACAGACATAGCAATCATCCTGCCCATCCACTTATCAGTTAGTTTAACTGTTCCTGTCCTGGACATCAGCTAGTCCTGGATACTCCCCAGTAGACGTTTATACCAGCTTAATGGGTTTATTAACACCACAAACATAGCAATCATCCTGTCCTTCTACTTATCAGTTAGTTTATCTGTGCCCACCCTGGACATCTGCTAGTCCCCAGGTCCTGTTTTTCTATTCTGCTTTTCTTACACCTTGTGTACTAAGGTCCTAAGGACCTGAAACTATGTCAACTACCTTCAAACACCGCAGTTATTTTCCATTACTAAACCATCACACTTAACATTGCTTAGAAGTGATTACATTTTGTGCCTCCTTGTCTCAATGAAAAGCTCAACATGAGCCAGCAGTGTGTGCTGGCAGCCGAGAAAGCCAACCGTATCCTGGGCTCCATCAAAAGGAGCGTGACCAGGAGGTCGAAGGAGAGAATTCTGCCCCTCTACTTCACTCTTGTGAGACCCCACCTGTAGTACTGTGGTCAGCTCTGGGGCCCCCAACAAAAGAGGGAAATGGACCTGCTGGAGCGAGTCCTGAAGATGCCACAAGGATGCTCAGAGAGATGGAGCACCTCTCCTCTGACAACAGGCTGAGAGAGTTGGGGTTGTTCAGCCTGGAGAAGAGAAGGCTCCAGGGAGACCTTAGAGCAGCTTCCAGTGCCTAAAGGGGGGCTACAAGAGAGCTGGAGAGAGGCTTTTTACAAGGGCAGGTAACTACAGGACAAGGTGACTTTAAACTGAAAGAAGGTAGGCTTAGATCAGACATTAGGAAGAAATTCTCCACTATAAGGGTGGTGAGGCACTGGGACAGATTGCCCTCAGAAGCTGTGGCTGCCCCATCCCTGGCAGTGTTCAAGGCCAGGTTGAATGGGGCTTTCAGCAACCTGGTCTAGTGGCAGGTGTTCCTGCCTGTAGCAAGGGGTTGGAACTAGATGAGCTATTAGGTTCCCTTCAACTCAAACCATTCTATGAATTCATGAAATAGCGCAGCAGCAAAACACCCTTTACCGGAGAATCCAAAACAATTCATTTTACCAACATAACGAAGACAATTCCGAAATAAGCAAACCAATTCCTAGGAATATGTCAAAAACCCAAATTCCACGTGACCGGTCGTCACCTTAATCCTGCATGGGGACACTTTAAGGTACCTTTTACCCCTCCGATCCGTCTTTTCTGATAGGAGTTACTCGGGGAGAGAGATCAAAACCGAAACAACACTAACAATGTCTCTGTATAGGACACTGCTCAAAAACTCACCACAACCGGGGGTTCGCCCGTGGAGTCCTCGGGTAATCCCACCGGCGGGTGCTGGAGTCCGTGTAGGGAATCCCCCTTCGGCTGCGATGGTTTCCCGAGCGAGATCCAGTCCGAGCTCAGGGTCCCATCTGGATCGCCAGAAACTGTTGCCAATTTGGGACTTTCCAAACTAGACTCTCCGTCTTTTGTTTAAGAAGCCGCAAACCAGTTCGTGGTGGCGGTGGCGGCAGCGACCACAGAGAAAATGGCGGGCGGTGATGCAGGGGAGGGGTCGCGGCGGGAGGACACGGTAGGGTGGGGCGGGCCGGGCCGGGCCGGCTGGGAGGGGGTATGGCGATGGCCGCGGCGGGCGGAGACGGTTGGACTGCGGCTCGGGGCGTCTCTGGCGGTGGTGAGAGATCCGGGACGCTGTAATCCCGAGTACTGGCGGCGGGCGGTGAGTGCGGTGCCAGCACCGGCGGCCGTGGCGGGGCGGGCGGTAGGGGTGGTGGGAGCGGCGGGCTGCCGGGATGGGGGGTAGGGGGGAACGATGGATGCTCGGAGCGGAGGACCCTGCCCTCGCCCTTTGTTGGCTACTGGGGGCAAAATGGCGACCCCCGTCCTCCCCATCGACACGGCCGGCTTTGTGTATGCCGGCACGCCTGGCCGCGCTGCAAGCAGCCGGGCAGGGGTGGGATGAGATGGGACAGTATGAGGTGCTGCCCTGTCCTGCCCTGCCCTGCCCTGCCCTGCCCTGCCCTGATCTCTCCCGGAGGCCACCTTCTACCCTGAGGGTGTAGCAGGGCCGTGAGGGGACGGGAAGCCTCAGATGGCCCGGCGGGCGCTGGTGCAGGCAGCGGCCTTATCTCCTCAGGGGGTAGCCGCCTTTCCAAAACCTGCACTCGTCAGAAAGCGCTCGGAAGGCTCACAGAGGTGTGCGGGCACGTCTGGGGAGAAACGTGAGGAAAAGCACTTTTGCAAGAGTTGGCAGAGAGCTTCACTAGAGAAGAGCTAGGTTACGATTTACAAAGCACGGCCCAGTAATGTCTTTAATTATGTTCTTAGGAAAGCACAGATAAAAATGGGAAAAACGTGGCTCTCCCGCCTGACACTGCCGGCTAAGGCCACGGCAGCCGCGCGGACAGAAGCGTTTCTGTGAGTACTCCTGGCCTTTTGGGAGCTATGGATTGGCACAGAGTTAGCTGAGATAGCTTTGCCAAAATCTCTAGTTTCCAAAAAGAATGCTAATATCAACTTCACATTAATTGGTGAACTCTCCAGTTTTAGGGTTTGCATATCTGTTGGGGTTTTGGTGGTGCTTTTTCTTCAGTATGCTGGCCTGCAGGTGGGGGAAGGATTGAATGAAGTAGGTAGGAGTTGGAGGCAGCAGGGAGAGGGCTGCTGAGGAACTGGGAGAAAAAACGAAGGGTCACAAATGGAGGCTGTGAATCGGTGGGGTGGATATTAGCACTGAGAATTCGGAGGTTAAAGGTTGTCTCAAGAGGTGGACTGCAGCCTAATGCGAGGAAGTGTCTTTTGAGCTTCATAGAATCATAGAATAGTCTGGGCTGGAAGGGACTTCCAAAGTCATCTACTCCAACCCCCTGCAATGAGCTCAACTAGATCAGGTTGCCCAGAACCACATCCAGCCTGGCCTTGAATGTCTCCAGGGGTGGTGTACCCGCCACCTCTCTGGGCAGCCTGTGCCAGTATTTCACCACCCTCATTGTAAAGAATATGTACAGAAAAATGTCTTCATGTACAGAAAAGCAGTTTCCCCAGTCCTTTGGTACTGTCAGTAAAACAGAATCACCACTGTAGCTAAGGTGATTATAAACATGGAGAAGTGATGTTAGGAGACTGCGTACAATGGTCCCTGAGTTTTTGAATGTTATATAGCAACTGTTAAGAAAGAGTCAGCAGGATATGATTAGCTGAGTATCCACAGACCACCAGCAAATGCTGCATAGGCAAAATACAAGGTAACAAGCAGGATAAACAGGCAGAATTAAAAACAAAAAAACACAAACAAACCACAAACAAAACAAAACCCAACCAAACAAAAGTTACTTATTTTAAAGTGCGAATCAAAGACTGACAGTGACATTCCTGTTTCTTCACAGCCGAGATGAAGGGGCTGAATGAGATGCGCAACTAGTAAGTATGGTTTAGAAACAAGTAAGATACTTGGAAAATTTTAAAGTAAAATGTGCTGATTTTCTTCTTTGTCCCCCCACTTCTTGTCTTTCAGACAGCTTCTTCCATGTTCTAGGCTTGGTACTGTCACTGACCTCTTTGGTGTACCCATAAGCAATTTTCTTCCCCTTCACTTTCCCATCTAAAATGGTTTCCTGCATTCTACAGGTAAATTTAATTAACACAGGCAAAAGGGCCTCCAGTCTTTGGAGAGAATTTGAAGAAGTCTTGACTGAATGTTTCTGAGCGTTGTGCTGCTTCTAGCTGCTCAGCATGTCTTGGCTGATCCAACTCTGCATACTCTGACCATGAGCAGCAATTCTTCCCTCAGCAATGTGAAGGGCCTGAGGAATCTCACCTCGCAGGAAGACGGGGCAGTCAGAGTCACCGAGTCCATTGCTATAATCGTCATTGCTATTTTCATCTGCTTGGGCAACCTGGTGATTGTCATCACCCTGTATCGGAAGTCTTACCTTCTCACGTTGAGCAACAAGTTTGTATTCAGCCTGACCCTCTCCAACTTTCTGCTCTCTGTACTGGTGCTACCTTTTGTTGTCACCAGCTCCATCAGGCGAGAATGGATCTTCGGAGTTGTTTGGTGCAATTTCTCAGCACTGCTCTACATGCTGATCAGCTCAGCCAGCATGCTTACTCTTGGACTCATAGCTGTAGACCGGTAAGCACTCCTTTTCTGATGAATTGTAACGAGTTGCCTCATCATTCCATAGGGTGTTCATATCAGTGGATAATGCTGCGTACTGCTGTGGAGTCCTTTTTCCTTCAGCCCCGTGGGAAATTTTGATGCAGAACAGAAGAAAGTGGTGTCATCAATAATGCAGAATGCACACATGCCTTTAGAGGTTTTTAAAGCTATTGATTGTATAATAACATACTACTTGAGAAACAAGAAATAATGACTTTAAAAGTCCAGATTATACCCTCATGCACTCACATGTAGGGACAGATTTAATAGCTTCATGTGTGCCTTCAGCCAAGTTTTACAGTCTTGACTGCAATGATATGTATTTTTGCATGTAATTATTTTTTTAAACAGGCTCCCTGAACTCACTTCAGGGTTTGGAGAAAGGAGAGCTAGATATCAACATCATTAAAATATGTCCTTTTTTATTGTACATCTTTTGTGCTTCCATTGACTCTTTCTTTTCTTGTCCATCAGGTACTATGCTGTCCTGTACCCAATGATTTACCCAATGAAGATAACAGGCAACAGAGCAGTGGTAGCTCTTGTGTATGTGTGGCTACATTCCCTTATTGGCTGCCTCCCTCCACTTTTCGGTTGGTCATCTTTGGAGTTTGACCAGTTCAAGTGGATGTGTGTGGCAGCCTGGCATAAAGAGGCTGGATACACTGCCTTCTGGCAGATCTGGTGCGCATTGCTGCCTTTCATGGTCATGATGATCTGCTATGGATTCATATTCCGAGTGGCAAGGATTAAGGCCCGCAAAATCCACTGTGGTAGTGTCATCATTGTGGAGGAGGACTCCCAGAGGAATGGGAGGAAGAACTCCAACACTTCCACATCCTCTTCAGGCAGCAGAAGGAATACTTTCCAAGGGGTTGTCTACTCAGCCAACCAATGCAAAGCTTTCATAACCATCTTGGTTGTCATCGGTGCTTTTGTGATTACATGGGGGCCTTACATGGTAGTAATTACATCAGAAGCACTTTGGGGAAAGAATAGTATTTCCCCTGCCTTGGAGACATTAGCTACATGGTTGTCCTTTTCCAGTGCCATTTGCCATCCTCTAATTTATGGACTGTGGAACAAAACAGTACGCAAAGAACTACTAGGAATGTGTTTTGGGGATCGGTATTATCGTGAGACCTTTGTTCAGCGGCACAGAACATCAAGGTTATTCAGCATTTCCAACAGGATCACAGGTAAGATGCATGGCCACAAAAGACACTCTTCCTTAAAAGCAGTAAGAATAAGACTTAATGTCTGCGTGTGCATTTCCAACAGGATCACAGGTAAGATGCATGGCCACAAAAGACACTCTTCCTTAATACCAGTAAGATTAAGACTTAATGTCTGTGTGTGCCTGGCATGTTTCTGGGCTCTGTAAACAGTGGGATGTTTCTGGAGGTTTCAGCAGTCTTTTGTTCAGGTTGTTGTGGACACTTGAAAGGAGAATTTCTCTTTTTTTGTGGGAAATAACCTCTTTTTCCTACTAAAGTTTTCTCTGCCAGAGAAAACATAGTGGTGATAAAACCAGTTTATTTTCTTCTCAAACGTTTCTTCTCATATGTCTATCATTTTGTGTTACCCAGATTTGAGCACTACAATAACATATTTTGCAGCACTTGTTCTTCAGTTCCTGGCATTATGCTACAACTGTTTGAGATCTACTACAGTTTCACTGGTGCAACTATTTCTGTAAATTCAGTTTTTAGGCTTAATGGTTGTGAAGAAAAGATCATAAACAAAGTAAAACTATGTAAAAGAGTAAAACTATTTGATGTCTACCCAAGCTAGAGGCTGAGAGCTTCAGTTGGTCAGTTTACTGTTTTTAAAATAGCAATGCAACAGCATTCTGATTTTTTAATCATTTCCATGGTCCTGTTCAGGAGCTTCCAAAAATAGGACATCCTCATGCTTCTGCAGTTACTTAATTGGGAAGGAAGATCTAAAATACAGAAGGAAGAGGAGAGCACCAAGGCTCTGTTGTCTTTTCTGCAACCTGGGAGAGGCTCCCAGCTAAATGAAAGCTTTGCAGCTGCAACCACATCACAAGCTGCAGGTGCTTTGGCAAATCTGTATCCAGGAGATGCTATGGATGAATACATTGGGAACTGGGGTGGGGAGGGGGGGTGGTGTTTAAAAATGGGAAATTTCTTTCTTTTTCCAAGCAATAAGAAGTTGACAGCTTCAAGTTTATCAGGTGTGTTAGCTGAAAGCTGATAGGGTAAAAATAACAAACCAAACAACCCACAACCAAACCCACAACAAAATCTTGAAGTGGGATCCAAAGACAGCACCACTATAAGAATCCTGGAATCTCCTCCCTTTTTGTTTTGGGGATTTGAAAGAAGCCAGGCATCTCAGTGCCCTGGCCTTGCTCATGAGCTTCCTGCCACTCTAATGGCCTGTCACAGCTGCTGATGGCTGCCAGGTTATTCTCTGACTAGAAGGTGTATGGTAAATATCCCCATTTCTCTAAGTGCATATGCTCCCTGTTCAGCCTGTCTGGCTGATAAAACATGTGACTGCAAAAGGAGCTGGTGGGAGATCGTGCATGTAGAAAAGGAGACTTGCCATATGGGAAGACTACAAGGATACTTGAAAGCTACTGACTGGATTTCTGAGTTGGGAAATCCAGATGCTGTGCACTCTGGATGAGCAAGGTAAGTTTTATGTGATATAACAAATAAGGCAGTAGAGAGGGCATTACTAGAAGAGGTTTTTACTACAGCAGACACCTTAAACATTCACTGTATAACAAGAACAAGTCTCTCTTGCAGATTTGGGGCTATCTCCTCATCTCACTGCCCTCATGGCAGGTGGGCGGCCATTAGGAAACAGCAGCAGCACAGGAGACACAGGTTTCAGCTGCTCACAGGATTCAGGTAACTAAAAGTGTCTTGCTCTCTTGAGCAGAAGATTGCACTTGTACCTTGGCAGAACTCTCTAGGACAGTCTGTATTTAAACACACAGGTGTCTCTTGGTGGATGGATGACATGAAGCATCTGTTCCAGCTGTTACAACAAAACTGCTGCAGTTGCTTTTTTCCTTCCTTGCTCTCAATATATTTACTTGCAAAATACTGTTTAGTTTAAGGAATGATGACCCTTCCTGATAATGTGTCTTGGGAGCAGGACTGCTGTTTTCATGCTCTTCTCCTTTAGGTTTGATTGTTCTTCAGGGACTTTCCCTGTACCCATGGGGAACAGAGCAACAAAGTGCTGTAGAGAATGTGCTTCTCTGTTTCTTAGTTTGTGAGAGACCATGTCTTGGTCATCCTGCAATGTAAACATAAACACGTTGGGTGATGTCAGCTTATGATTTTGTTACTACTTAAGAACTCTCAACTGAAGGTGGTTTGGGAAAGGGGAAAGTTCTGCTGGTAATTTTCTATCCAGAACTGTAGCTAGATTTTTCTGGTAGTTAAATCAGCTACCTCTCCTTAACTGCACTGCTCTAGAGACACCAGAGGGTGACTATCTAACATTCGCTTGGTGCTAGAGGTTTGTTTCTTACTTTTGTAAAGGAAGTCTATGGAGCTGGGATTTATTTTGGTAGTTGTTCTACATTGGTAGTTTTATGCCTATTGTAGGTATTCTGCAGATGTATATAAAGGAGAATAGCATCCTGGTAAACCTGTCTCAGTTAAGAGGATGTTGTGTTATCATCTTTTGAGGAATGGTACTGAACAGTTTAAACAAATGAGCAAACTAAATACACACTGAGTGCTGTTAGAAGTGCAACTACATTCCAGAGCCAGGGATTGTCAATGCAGTGATCCACTGTGAAATACTGTTTCACTGGATGCCTATACTGTGAGGAACTAAAGAGCAGAAAGAAGTCTTAGTCCCTCTTCAGTGCTGCCTGCTGCAGTACCTGATCCCGTGGCCTGTGTCTTCATCTGCTCTGGTAAACTTAAGCTGAGCTTTTCATGTTGTGAAAAAGAGATGAAGTAGTAGAGGACAAGAATCCAAGTAGTCCCAGCTATACACAAAACGTGATGTGAGACCCAAGTTTTAATTGCTGTAAATGCTGCCTTAAGTTCTATTACTCAAAGGACAATGATCCACCCTGTAAGAACAAGAGGCTAGTTTCTTCACTACCCTCATTTGAAAAAAGTGTATTCAAGTAGTGCATTTGAAAAAAAACGCACTAGAATTCTGTTCCATGAGAAAAAGTATCTTTCTTCCTAGTGCCACCCTTCCAGTGCACACAATATTGCTAAGGAGGATCCGGTACGCTTGAAGATCTGTAAGAGTCTGCTGTTTTCAGCAGATAGCCTTAAATCCAGCTGATCCACGGAACAGCAGAGGAGGCTGTTAGCTTATCTGGGATTGTGTATTAGGGCAGCAGCTCATTTTTGTTTGCTGGAGGTAGAAGTGACATAACACTAGAGTTTATCGCTTTGCTATATCGCAGTGAATTGTCAGCAAAGAGCAGACTTATGGAGCAGTATGTTGTCTAGAGGTACACCCCCAGTTATGTCTTTCACTTTCTGTACTATGGGTACTGGAACACCTCCTTTGTGCAAAAAATACGTTTGGGGATCAAAAGCAGTCAAGTGGGTGAAGAGAGATGGGAAGCCACCTTCTGGAAGAGTTCTAAAAGTTGTGAAAGCTTTTTGTCCTAGGCCTGTTGTCACATCAGAGGAGTAAATGGACTTCCCTGAGGACTGCTCACCCAGCACTGTCCTGGCATCTCCCCATAGTGCTTGTTTCGCTTCTCCTGTACACACCAGAGACCAGCATTGCAAGGGAAGTCTGAGCTGCAGTCTTGCCCTTTGTGTAGAAGCATTGCAGAGATGGCAAGATTAATTTCCTTGTACTTGTAAACACTATTTTATATTGGAAAGGTGCAAAACAAATGTAGGGTGATGAAATTAAAAAAGCCAAAAAACTCCTCAACTGGAAAAAAAAGACAACTCATTAGACAAAAATCATTCCCAACCAGCAAGAGATTTTTTTCCCCATTAAAATATACTTCAGGAAAGTAAAAACAGGCTTTTAGATACAGACTGAATTGAACAGAAAAATTCTCCCATTCAGATTTCCATCCAGGTCTGATGACAAGCCTGACATTTGGCAGCTATGGTTGTTTGCCTCACAGGTAGCCAGTGTTAGTCTCTTGTCTTCATCAGGGGGAAGTTGCCCTCATCTTTATCTTTCATTTTCTGAAGGTAAGGTTGCACCTTTGTTGGCTGTCCTATTGACATTATAAGCTCTTCAGCTGAACATTTAGAGGAACTGCTTGAGGTTTTAGATAGCTAATGATAAAAGATTTCCAAATAGTTCGAGTGACCTCATTTTTTTTTGTGCAGTGTTTATTTCAAGCTGAAATTTACTCGCAAATGCTGGGTTTAGACATCTTTTGAAGGAGCTGCTATTAACAGGAAGGTTTTTGCCACCACATAAATATTGTATCCCAGCATTACTCTGTTTTGCTTGAGAACTCTTGCTTTGTTTCAGGAACAGAGACAATGCTTCTTGAAGATTATAGCTCAGATAGCACTCAAGCCTCACACTGTGTCTGTCCTCCTCGAAGGAGGAGTTCAGTGACGTTTGAAGATGAAGTAGAGCAAATTAAAGGTGGGTTTAGGGGTAAGTATGGAAATGCTCATTATCAACTATATAATGTGCTCAGGAAGCCTCCCAGAAACTTTTAATTACATTTGACCACTGTTTACGTGGCAGACCTGACCATTCATGCAGGTACAACAGAAAGTAAGATTAGTCTCTTCCAGTTCTCAACAAGCGACAAGGACAAAAGTTAGAAACTGGCATTCCCTGCATACGTATCATTTATGTTGCACAGCAGAATCTTCTCTGCAACTCCACTCATCTGGTGTTTGTTGCATCTGGTTCTGCATTTCCCAAGGAATACATTTTCTTGTCCTCATACTTTGATTCCATTATCCAGATGTTTCTCATTTGTTGCCTCCTCTGAACTTTGTCATTCACAGACTTGAAATTCTTCCATCTACAGACTTTAAATGGTCTGAATATAATTCCACTTTCATTTACCTTTTTTTTACTTCACTTACTTTTGAGTGTGTTTCTCAGCAGATCTGGGCTAAAATAAGATGAACCAATTCACTTATGTTTAGTTAACTTACTTGATTCTGTGCTAGCAAAGTTGCTGGAATCATATGTAAAGTATTGTACATGTAAAGTATTTTCAGAGGGCGTGATGATACTTTGACAAAAGGATTAACAGTCTTCAAGCAATTGCACAGCCATGTTGATCCTCTTTGTTTTCTGATATATTGTTTGCTTGTTTGTTTTTTTTTTTTCCCCCAGAATCTGCAAAGAATTCTGTTCTTCATGTAAAAGCTGAAGTCCATAAATCCCTGGACAGTTACGCATCCAGTTTAGCAAGAGCTATTGAAGCTGATGTGAAGATCAGCTTGTTTGGGGAAGATGCTTTACCAGGAGCTCTGTTCCCTGCCCGGACTCTGCCAGGAAGCACTGTGAACACACGGCGTGGCGTCCGGCCCCATGCTAGCCAGAGACTTAAGTTGCAGAGCATCGATGAAGGGACTATTTGACAGGAGCACTGGCGTATGAAACCTGAAAGAAACCACTAAGTGGGACCTACTACAGCTGTTGGTGTTTCAACAGAACCAGGGTATCTTCTCAGGATGTTTTTCAGTGTTTTCTCAACACTTGAACAATTCTGGTACTTGCATCAGCATTTTACAGCAGTGTTTGTTTACTGTTTAGGGTGCTATTGACTCTTGTGCCATGTCTTAAATGTATCACGCAGTGTGTAGGAATGCAGAGTTTGATTTTATCGACCTGATCATTAGTCTGTTGAATCTTGGGTCCATTATCGGCCAAAGCTTTAGGAATGAAAAATGGAAATGTATGTGCAGTGCTTAATTCATTATTACATAGATCCTTTTCTGTACCCCAAGGTAATCAGTTTATACTCGATAGCTGTAGTGCTCTGATAGGGAGCTTGTTCATTGGATACTATGCCTTACTGTCACAGACTCCCAAATGAGCAGCATGGCCTTTATTAAGGGCAAAACCTGAACTTTTCAGAGAGCTCATGCAAGTTACGGTGTTTCTTACCCTTGCTAGCGCATATCTCTGGCTGTTCATCAGAACACTAGATCTGAAAGTGTACTATGTGTTGCCTCTGCCTTATGTGACAGCAGCTGCTTTAGATGTAGTAGGTGGGAGCAGACTTGTGCTAGAAATACCGCAGAGATGGTATTTGAGGAAATCATCAATGCAGAGTTCTTAGTTTCCCTGAGAACTTCACTTCTCTGGTTTTGCTTTTACTAAAAGGGCACTCTATGGCTGTGATAAGCTTGACAGAATACAAATAATGTATTACCACTTCATATCCAGCATTCATCTTTTCCAGAGACAGAAGTTCTATGAGGGTTTTTTGCTTTGGTTTTTTTTTTTTTTTTTTTCAATCGTGAGGGAATGTAGTGTTTAAGCTATAGGTACTTCAGTGCATCTATTTCTTGGAATATTCATGAATCTCTAAAATAGGAACATTTGGCACTTATATTGCACTTTGCATGTTCGTGAGCACTGTACAGACATGACCTTGCTAGGCCTTTGTGAGAGGGTTGATCAGCCCTGCTTGCCAAAGAAGGGAAACTGCAACAGTCAAGCTGCTGGCAACTAAACAGGCTGCAGAGGTGAAAAGGTTTGTTAGGAAAAGAGGGATGAGGTGGATCATACAAGGATGCCTAGCTTGAGGAATGTTTCTGTGCCTTCTTGGGCTAGCCCCTTCCTTACTTTGTGAGGGTTGCAGCCCTGCCCTACTGCTTATTTCAAAGAGAGAGAGACATAAATGAATAGGATAATTTCTTGGAGATGTCAGTAGCAAATAGACTTAAGGACCAAGGATTTCCATCTGTTTGCTCTGTGCCCATTCTCCCCCACCCCTCCACCTTTCCCCAGAAGTGGTGTGTCTGAGGTTTTGCAGTAGATGGTTTGGAAATCAGGGGCGGGATGTTTCCATCTGGGCAAAAACTGGATGTACACTTGTTAAATTACGGCTGTGTGTGATGCACTTGGAGGCAGAGAAGCAAACTGTTCTGGAGGCAGAGCCCCCGTACTGTACATAGACACCCTGTTGCCTGTGTTCCCAGCTTGGAAACATTTCAGCTCTGGACAAAGCAGCTTGACTTTATGAACTAGCCTGAATCCTATTACATCGCCATGTAAGATACAGCTGCATGCTTAAAATTCAGTACATGGTTCGCTGATTAAGAACAGGCTGTTACAGCAAGAACACTTGAGCACCAGTAAAATGGCTCTTTGCCTAACACAGGAATGAAACTACTAATAATAGCGAGGTCCTCACTCCTGAACTTTTCGCTTCTAGTGCGTTGGATAAATTGGCACCTGTGGGCACTCATCTAAGAAAAGAAACCAAAAAATCCCGTTATTTAATTGAAAATGCCCTGCACTGAGATCATTATTGCTGTCATTAACATTACAGTCACTGTTGCTCAAAGTACTTGGTACTCCTTATCTGTGCACTTGCATCAGGTGGCTGGAAGAATTTTACCTGCATCCCATTTATTTCCTAGGCCTGCTTCAAAACAAGCTGAGCAAACCTGAGTATTTCTGAATGTAGGAAGAGCACATCTGAGTACCTGTCCACGTGGGGAAGCCAGTGGTAGCCCCAGAATAATGTGGTTTAGGAGGAAAAATGCCAAGGCTTGTGCAAAAGCACAAAGTTGTGAGTATTTTGTTAGAAGCTTGGTTTTTTACAGAGGTACTGAGTCAAATTCAGCTGAAGCTGTGCCAGTTTACACCGTGGCTGAATTTGGCTGTCCCTGTTAATATCTCTGACCCCTTACTTAGTGTAAATGTTAATATTTTTGTACATGCATTACAACCTTTCCCTAATTCTGTTACTACCACAGTCGCTATCGCACTTGAATTGTCACTGACAAAAGCAGTAAGTAAGAAATACACACATTTTGTAAACATGTATTTCCCATCTTAAACACAACGCAAAAGAAAAGCAAAACTATTTCCAGCCTCTCATAGCCTGCGGTGTGTGTTTATACTGCGGTTACTTCCACGTGACTTCAGCGGGAACCCGGGGGACAACACCGCGAAGGCCACGCCCCTTAGTCTTAGCCACGCCCTCTCGACCTGCGCTCCCCAATGGTAGCGCGCTTTTCTCTTCACGCCCTTTCCGCCGCGCTCCAAAGCGTGACCTGCGCGGAGGCGGGGCGGCGATGGGATTGGTGACTTCACAACGCAGGGGGGGATTGGGTCCGCCCCTCCCTTGCCCCGCCCCGCTCTGGTTGGGCTGGGTCTGATTGGTTGATTTGATTGTGGCGGTTGTGGTTGGCGATGGAGGCTGTGCCGTGCGCGGAGCATGGTAAGGGGCAGCGGGTGGCGCCCGTATGGCTGGGGGCTGGGGGCTGGGGGCTGACGCTGACGCTGACGCTGACCAGCTCTCCGCCCTGCAGGGTCCCTCTGCTTCCTGAAGACGGGCGTCCGCGATGGCCCCAACAAGGGGAAGAGCTTCTACGTGTGCGGCGCGCAGGGCCCCGCGGCCTGTGGCTTCGTCCTCCCGGCGCCGTAGGTGCAGCGTGGCGGGGCGGGAGGGCTGTTCCCTGTTGTGCTGGTGGGGGGCGGTGCGACGGGGTGGGACACGGCAGCACACCGCTGCTCTGCGGGAAGTTCGGTGCTGTGTCAGTAGCTGTCGAATCACAGAATGGTTTGTGTTGGAAAGGACCCTAAAGCACATCTACTTCCAACCCCCTGCCACGGGCAGGGACACCTCACACTAGACCAGGGTGCTCAAGGCCCCGTCCAACATGGCCTTGAACACTGCCAGGGAATGGAGTAGCAACAGCTCTAGGCAACCTGTGCCAGTGCCTCATTGCCCTCATAATGAAGAATTTCTTCCTAACATTGCAAACTTACTTTCTTAGTTATGTAGTCCTTGAGAAGACTCTCCAAGTATTTTGTCCCGAGTAACTTTTTGCTGCTGCTGTTCCCTGTGCCTCTTGTCTTTATTCTTCCTCCGTTCTTTTTCCTCTTTTCAGTATTCCTCCGTCTCAGTGCTTGATCCATGAGGGCTGCGTGGTGGAGCTGCAGACCCTGGTTCAGGTTCAGGACACGGATGAACACCAGTAAGTTCTTCTGAGTGGAAACAAGGGTTTGTTGTACTGGTTTGAGCATCTGGACTTGTTTGATGGGGCTGACTTGCAGTTTCCTTCTAAAATTGAATAGGCTCATCGAGCCTTGAGGCCTTCACTTAGCATGTTTCAAAATGTTTGCTATTTTTTTAGCAACTATATTCAGTGGTATAAGTGATCAGATGTGTTTGTTTTTAACAGAATTGAACGTGTTGGTGTGGTTGCGTTCATCCAAGATTCGTGACGATTACATCAAATTCACCGATTTTAATTCTGACAAAGTTCTTGCATTTAACTGGCAGTCCTGTTCCAAAGTATTCCTGTTCCTGAGGTGCTTTAAGATGAGGTGGCCTGGGTAGTGTAACTAAAGGAACAGTTGTTTCATTACACCTTGAAATCATAGGGCACTTCTGAGGCTCTGAGCATAGGCAATATTTTTGCCTATTTTGCTGTTGGATTTTTTTTTATTGCTAAAATTAAAACCAAACGACCCAAACCCCTAAAAATTCTTAGGGTCCCAAGCCAGAGGACAATGCTTCTGTAAAAAGCCTTTTGGTGAGTGTTTATAGGCTTTTGCTATAGAGAAGTCTGAATGTAAAGTGCAGATCAAGAGGATTTGTCTGGGATGGTTTTGGTGCAAAGTACTTTAAAAAAAAACACTTACAGTTCTTTACTGGCTCCTGCAGTTCAAATTTTGTTTTATTCTTTAGCAGGTTGTTTTACCGATGCCTTAAAAGTAAGTTGAGTGGGAAGAAGTGGTGTGGAAGCATCCCATGGAAGGTATGAATGTTTCTTCTGTATTATAGTATCAGCTTATTCCAGCGTGACTTTTCATTCTGTATACTGTAATAACCTCTGAGACTACATAGAGGAAGAGACTGTATTTTCTAGCTGAATAGTGCATCACCTGCTGTCCTCTAGATGAGACTTCTCTTACTCCTCAATTGTGTGAAGTGTTCTCCAGTCTTAACCCCTTTGGGTTTGATCTTTGGCTGTCCTCTTTTTTTGAGGATGATGCTGTTGAGACTTTGTCCTGCAAAACACAGAATGGCAACGAAATGGTTCTACAAAACATGGAAATGGCAAAGAAAGCAGAAAACCAGTATTTCTGTTTTGGTTTCCTTGTAAAATGTTTATCCTGATCTTGTTAACATGATAGAAAGGAAGATGTTTGTAAAGTCTTGCTTGAGATGATTAGGTTGTGCGTATAGTTAGCAGGATTTAATAATTTGCATGTTAGCGTTTACTTTTATATATTGCAGGATCCAAAAGCTACCACAGTGTCAAAAGCCTTAGAATCCCACCCCAGCACAGCAGCTCTCTTCAATCCCAGTGGGCACAGAAATCCCTTCAAAGTGATACACAAGAATTGTGAACCATCATCTTGCAAACAAATGAAGCAAGGAAACAGAGAGGGAAGTAAAGCAAATGGAGGAAAAGCAGAGAAAGAGAGCGTGCTGGTGTCACATAAAGAAAAGAAGTCAACCTCTGATTTCTCCATAGAGAAAGAACCTGTAGAAGGGCTGAAAACTGAGAAGAAGCAGGCCAAGGGAAACAGGAGTGATCCAGAACTTAAGGAGAGCACAGTGTCTGAACCTAAACTTGATCTCCCTGACACTTTGAAAGGGAAAAACACGCTTTTGGAGGAAGAGAAATATGATGGTGGTGGCAGGGAATCCAAGAAATCTTCAGAGTGTGTGGAGAAAGAGCCAGGCGGGATATCAAAGCCCCTTCCACCAAGTCTTGGAAAGCAAAGCACAACCACCAAACCTCCAGAGGAGGAGCATCTTCAAGAAAAAAGCTTAAAAAGCTGTGGGGATAAAGAAACCAGAGAGAAAGAATATGTTAGTTGGAAGAAAGGAGAAATGAAACTGATGTCTACAGGTGTGATTTCTCCAGCAGTGCCACAACTGGCATTGCAACATGCTGCCCTCAAGGCAGGAGCAGAGGCATTGCTGCCCAAGGCACAGGTCAGGCCAGGACTGGGACAGCCTGCTGATGAAGTCTCTGGTAGTGACAGTGATAATGTAGAATTTGTTTTCTCCTCATTAGGTAAAAGTAAGCCTGAAAAATCAGTTGAGGGTTTGCAGTCAAGAGAGATTCCTTCAGAAAAATCAGGAAAGAGTATACAGGGGACATCTTTGCCAGGAGCTGCAGCATCTCATCATGTGGAAGACCCTAAAGCTCTTCACAACCACCTTGTAGTCCAGCTGAAGCAGAAGAAGGTAATTTATTGCACCTGTTATTCTGACCTGATTGTTCTCTGTTGGCAGAAAGCACACTCAGCTTTTGGATTCTTCTGTGTTTTGCAGAGTACGTTGGCTACAGTGAACATTCAGCTGCTGCCAGATAAAGGGGAACGGTTACTAAAGCAAGTGCAGGATTTGGAAGCTGCGCTTAGTGCTCTTAATGTTTCGCTAGCAGGTACTACTGGAAATTAGGGCTAAATTTATGCTTTTTTTTTTTTTTTCCCCCAGAACCTTGCAAAACACTTATTATTAATATATATTATTAATATAGTTGTTATTGGCATGTGCTCTATATAAAGTTTATATGTTGAGATTCACTGAAGGTGAGAAGTGTTAGTTGCAAAGTGTGTGTCTGGGAGAGGATGAATGGAACAACTTAGGCCTTTCCCCTGAAGGGTGATGGCTTCCCAGAAGAGTTTCCTTCCATAGTTAAGACCCAGGGCTAGTTCTTTTTCTACCTTTGGCTACATGATTGTGGCAGATGTCCCTCTGAGAACTTGCCAGTGAAGTGTTAACTTCCTCTTTGTTGCAGAGTGAAACAATGCTGGTTGTGCATGTTTTGGCTGCTGTGTCTGAATGTTTCAGATACAAGATAGCAGCTTCCAGTATGCCATTCCTATAAAGTGATTTCCCAATTCTATTAGCTAGTATTAATCATCTGTGGAAGAAAGATATTTTGACCTGTATGATCACCTCAACAAGACAGTTACTTTGTGATCATAGTATCAATTGTGTTGATGAAAAGATACTTTGATAACTCTGGAAACTGAAGATCTCTAGCAAGGAAGCAGTAACTCAAGGGCCACCACACAGCAAGCAGTCCCAATGCCTTGTACCATATCTTTTTTTAAGCAAGACAGACTTTTCCAGGAAGGAGATAAAAGCTCCTGAGTTCTTGGTCTGTTTATTCTTCTTGGATATTTTGAAAGGGTTTTTTGACCAAAACGTTGATGAGAAATACCTCTTAAAAACATCTAAGCCCTGTGGGAACAGCGTACAGAATTGACCTTGTGTTTCCACTAACCTGGTCACAGTTGCAAAGTTAACAGTGTCGGTATAAATCACACATTCAGGCTTGAGCAGAACTGCATTGCCTGCCATGTAGGAGCAGGCTAACAGTAGATAAGGCCTGGTAGTAGTTGCAATGGCTCGAGTGATATGATAACCTGCTACCCTGGTAAATCCATGGGACCACTTAATAATACTTTGCAAGCAGATTATTGGGGGGGGGGAGGCAGTTCTCTGAGCTGTAACAGAAGGCTCCGAAGTCCATTGTGCAACCTTGCCAACCTGTGATTCCTCTCTTCTGAAGGGGAGAAAAGCACAAGCAGCAGCTGCTGTGAGGAATCTTTGCCTAACCCATTTGGCAGGCCAGGTGGTACAAAGTTGGTAACACCACTACCGCTCCAGAATCCTACAGCAAGGACCCCTTCAGGCTCACACGGTCACCCCTCTGCTGCTGCTGCTTTGGGTTCCAGTGAATATTACGGCCACAGTTTTGGAAGTAAGTACAGAAAGACTTTTTGATTAAAGAAAACACTGGTGAGAACTATTTCTAAAATAACCTGCAACTTGTGGATATGTGTGAGAGTACTAAACCTCTTCTGTTACTGTGAGCTGCGTACTGCCCACTG